GCCCGTAACTTACCTGGCACAGGAGCGGGGCAAGTAGCACGGGCTATGGTGAGCCCGTAGTGGACTTACCTGGCACAGGAGCGGGGCAAGTAGCACGGGCTATGGTGAGCCCGTAGTGGACTTACCTGGTACAGGAGCGGGGCAAGTAGCACGGGCTATGGTGAGCCCGTAACTTACCTGGCACAGGAGCGGGGCAAGTAGCACGGGCTATGGTGAGCCCGTAACTTACCTGGCACAGGAGCGGGGCAAGTAGCACGGGCTATGGTGAGCCCGTAGTGGACTTACCTGGCACAGGAGCGGGGCAAGTAGCACGGGCTATGGTGAGCCCGTAGTGGACTTACCTGGCACAGGAGCGGGGCAAGTAGCACGGGCTATGGTGAGCCCGTAGTGGACTTACCTGGCACAGGAGCGGGGCAAGTAGCACGGGCTATGGTGAGCCCGTAGTGGACTTACCTGGCACAGGAGCGGGGCAAGTAGCACGGACTATGGTGAGCCCGTAGTGGACTTACCTGGCACAGAAGCGGTGCAAGTAGCACGGGCTATGGTGAGCCCGTAGTGGCACAGGAGCGGGGCAAGTAGCACGGGCTATGGTGAGCCCGTAGTGGCACAGGAGCGGGGCAAGTAGCACGGGCTATGGTGATCCCGTAGTGGCACAGGAGCGGGGCAAGTAGCACGGGCTATGGTGATCCCGTAGTGGCACAGGAGCGGGGCGGTAGCACGGGCTATGGTGAGCCCGTAGTGGCACAGGAGCGGGGCAAGTAGCACAGGCTATGGTGAGCCCGTAGTGGCACAGGAGCGGGGCAAGTAGCACGGGCTATGCTGAGCCCATAGTGGGCTTACCTGGCACAGGAGCGGGGCAAGTAGCACGGGCTATGGTGAGCCCGTAGTGGACTTACCTGGCACAGGAGCGGGGGTGGACGTGCCGTCTGGACCCGAATATTCTGCATAATCTGGTGGTTCCCGCCTGTCATATTCCGGACCCTAAATTCCCGACCACTTTTTCTAAGTCAAAATATTTTCTAAAAAAAAAAAAAAAAAACATGATTTTTGTGGCTGGGAACCGAGAAATCCCGAGTCACAAAAATGAGAGATGGGTGACCTGTGTAGAGGTGCACCTGTGTAGAGGTGCAGCTGTGTAGAGGTGCACCTGTGTAGAGGTGCACCTGTGTAGAGGTGCACATGTGTAGAGGTGCACCTGTGTAGAGGTGCACCTGTGTAGAGGTGCACCTGTGTAGTGCCCCCCCCTACAACACTTCCTTTCCTTAGGTAGAACAATGGTGTTTAGTAGGGGGAAGGTGGGGGGGAGGGGGGAGGGGAAGGGGGGGTCACGAGGTAAACACAAGCACCTCTATTTACCTTAATTTGCCTTTGTTATTCGAATCATGTTTTTCCTTACTCTCATATTACCATTTACTGCACGCACGCACGCGCGCACGCACACACACACACACACACACACATACGTACATACGTATGATTGCATATGATTCGTATGATGGGGGGTTGATATCACACCGAACCTGTCCCCAGAGGCCCACATCAAAAGGATATCATCAGCGGCATATGCTAGGTTGGCCAACATAAGAAATGCCTTTAGAAACTTGTGTAAGGAATCGTTTAGGACCCTGTATACCACTTACGTCAGACCAATCCTGGAATATGAAGCTCCAACCTGGAGTCCATACCTAGTTTAAAAAAAAGACAAAGTTAAAGAAGATTCAGAGGTATGCCACTAGACTAGTCCCAGAACTAAGAGGTATGAGATACGAGGAAAGGCTACGGGAGCTAAACTTCACGTCCCTGGAAGACAGAAGAGTAAGGGGAGACATGATCACCACCTACAAAATTCTCAGGGGAATTGACAGGGTGCACAAAGACAAACTGTTTAGTACGGATGGAACACGAACAAGGGAAGGGGAAAGAAATTGTCAGGAGAAAGCGCCAATCCATTACGACTACTGTGTATAGCACTTGGATAGAGTCAAGATAAGGATTTGGGTTGGGACGGGGGAAAAGAATGGTGCCCAACCACTTGGACGATCGGGGATTGAACGCCGACCTGCATGAAGCAAGACCGTCCCTCTACCGTCCAGCCCAAGTGGTTGGACACACGAACAAGGGGACACAGGTGGAAACTTAGTGCCCAAATGAGCCACAGACATTAGAATTCTGTTTTTCTCAGTGTCAGAGTAGTTAACAAATGGAATACATTAGGCAGTGATGTGGTGGAGACTGACTCCATACACAGTTTCAAGTGCAGATATGATAGAGCCCAATAGGCTCCTGAATCAGAACACCAGTTGATTGACAGTTGAGAGGCGGGTCCAATGAGCCAAAGCTCAACCCCAGCAAGGTTAACTAGATGAGTACACACGCACGCACACGTAGGAGACACACGTCTCGTCGACCAGACCACACACTAGAAGTTGAAGATACGACGACGTTTCGGTCCGTCCTGGACCATTCTCAAGTCGATTGTGATTCCGATTCTCACAATCGACTTGAGAATGGTCCAGGACGGACCGAAACGTCGTCGTCCTTTCACCTTCTAGTGTGTGGTCTGGTCAACATACTTTAGCCACGTTATTGTGACTCATCGCCTGCACACGTCTCGTCCATCAGCAACACTCATCTACTCTATATTGTCTTCAAGTCAGGAAATAAGTAGACATTCAAGGTGGAAATGCGTAACAGTTACTTTTATCAAGAGTTCAAGGTTCGATTCCCCCCGTGTGGCGGGTGTTTGATCTGAGCCTGATCTTCCTGTGGCCTTACAGCACTCTTTACGAGCCTCCTCGTGTGTGTGTGTGTGTGTGTGTGTGTGTGTGTGTGTGTGTGTGTGTGTGTGTGTAATTACCTAAGTATAGTTACAGGATGAGGGCTACGCTCGTGGTGTCCCGTCTTCCCAGCACTCTTTGTCATATAACGCTTTGAAACTACTGACGGTCTTGGCCTCCACCACCTTCTCACCTAACTTGTTCCAACCGTCTACCACTCTGTTTGCGAAAGTGAATTTTCTTAATTCACTTTCACAGTGTGTGTGTGTGTGTGTGTGTGTGTGTGTGTGTGTGTGTGTGTGTGTGTGTGTGTGTGTGTGTGTGTGTGTGTGTGTGTGTGTGTGTGTGTGAAACAAGGCAAGAACGAGCAACTCTAATTTAACTTGTGCAGTTAGAGACGAGCTTCAGCTGGGGAAGAAGTTGTGACGCTGATTGGCTAATCAGTGAGTAAGCTGGTGAAGCAGCAAGGGTTGTGACTGGGTCAGCCCAGCAGGTGTGAGGGAAGGTAACTGGTTGGGATGAGATGTTTACCTACACGTAAACCACTTACCCATGACACCTGTCATAGTCAGATGAGACGTGTCATATGTATTTCCAACCTGTCATCTTAAAAACAACGTCGCTTTTGTCCGTTTACCCGAAAGTGGTGCTATATATAGCAACATCTTTGAACAACTTTGAAAACATCTGAAGATCATTGTCTGCAAGAGAAGCAATATCGTTATTAGATCTGGCAAATTAGCCCACAAGGTTAGTTTAAATTATATAAGCAACATCATAGGCTGACAGATATTAAAATATGATCGGTTAATTAGAAAGGCCCAGTTAGTGGTATTTTAACACGTTAATTACATCATGTGGCACAGACACAGTGAAGATCTCTCGGTGAATGTGATTGGGGAACTGAAGACCTCGTCTTCTTCAGTAATTGAAATGGGGTTCAGTGAATGGCATTAACCAGCAAAATAGGCTTGGAATAGAAAAGAGGGAAGGAGGGAGGGAGAGAGAGAGAGGGAGGGAGAGAGAGAGAGAGAGAGAGAGAGAGAGAGAGAGAGAGAGAGAGAGAGAGAGAGAGAGAGAGAGAGAGAGAGAGAGAGAGAGAGAGAGAGAGAGAGAGAGAGAGAGAGAGAGAGAGAGAGAGAGAGAGAGAGAGAGAGAGAGAGAGAGAGAGAGAGAGAGAGAGAGAGAGAGAGAGAGAGAGAGAGAGAGAGAGAGAGAGAGAGGAAGGTAAAGAGGGAAGTAGAGATTCGGGCAGCGCTACCTTTGAGATTACCTTAAGATTACCTCAAGGTACCATAGGTGTCACAGGTACCCGGGATACCTATAAAACCTATGAAATAAAATGACCTTGATAATAAAAACATTATTATATACATTATTACTGATGTAAAATAATAATGTGTATACATAATAATACATATACATGAGACGTATAGCACTGTACACATGTACAGCATATTAACAGGCCCGGCGGCTCCTGCCCTTCAACTCTACACAACGGATCAAATGTATAGAAAAAAAATTCTAACTGGATAACCTGTTCATTGGAGGTTACTTTATAGCATTTTTCTGGCAGTACTTAAGGCTCCACTTGGGCAGAGGTCTTGACGCCAGCATATATGCCCGGGGCCAGATTCACGAAGCAGTTACCCAAGCACTTACGAACGTGTACATCTTTCTTCAATCTTTGACGGCTTTGGATACATTTATTAAACAGTTTACAAGCAGGAAAAGTTGCCAATCAACTGTTGTTATTGTTATAAACAGCCTCCTGGTGCTTCGGAGCTCATTAACTGTTTAATAATTGTAAACAAAGCCGCCAAAGATTGAGAAAAGATGTACAGGTTCGTAAGTGCTTGTGTAACTGCTTCGTGAATCTGGCGACAGGGGTGCCAAATGGAGCCAAAGTCACAGAAAATGGGATCCGGGTCTGGGTAATCAGGGGGAGACTTCGGTGAGTGTTCAGGTCTCTGTTCCATCCCCCCTCCCATCTATCCCTTCCCCCTCCTTCTACCACTTCCCCTTCCGCCCTGACCCTTCCCTTCTCCATCTATCCCATCTCCCTCCCTCCCTCCACAGGACACACCATCCCCCCTCACCCCTAAAAAAAGGTGTTTGATCAGCTTTTGGAAAAACTTCTCATATCTTGCACCTTTTTAAATTGCTTCAAAATTTAATTAAAATCTTTCAAATAACAGTTGAGTGCTAAAATGTATATGATATTTATGCTATAGTCATCCTGTCAAAAATAGCTTGTCCTTCGATTATACTTGGCTCGTCCTTGGCTCGTCCTTGGCTCGTCCTTGGCTCGTCTTTGACTCGTCCTTGGCTCGTCTTTGACTCGCCCTTGGCTCGTCTTTGACTCGTCCTTGGCTCGTCTTTGGCTCGTCCTTGGCTCGTCTTTGACTCGTCCTTGGCTCGTCTTTGGCTCGTCCTTGGCTCGTCTTTGGCTCGTCCTTGGCTCGTCTTTGACTCGCCCTTGGCTCGTCTTTGACTCGTCCTTGGCTCGTCTTTGGCTCGTCCTTGGCTCGTCTTTGACTCGTCCTTGGCTCGTCTTTGGCTCGTCCTTGGCTCGTCTTTGGCTCGTCCTCGACTCGTACCTGGCTGTCCTTGATTCGTCCTTGGCTCGTCCCTGGCTCGTCCTCGACTCGTACCTGGCTGTCCTTGACTCGTCCTTGGCTCGTCTTTGGCTCGTCCTTGGCTCGTCCTTGGCTCGTCTTTGACTCGTCCTTGGCTCGTCTTTGACTCGTCCTTGGCTCGTCTTTGGCTCGTCCTTGGCTCGTCTTTGACTCGTCCTTGGCTCGTCTTTGGCTCGTCCTTGGCTCGTCTTTGGCTCGTCCTCGACTCGTACCTGGCTGTCCTTGATTCGTCCTTGGCTCGTCCCTGGCTCGTCCTCGACTCGTACCTGGCTGTCCTTGACTCGTCCTTGGCTCGTCTTTGGCTCGTCCTTGGCTCGTCCTTGGCTCGTCTTTGGCTCGTCCTTGGCTCGTCTTTGACTCGTCCTTGGCTCGTCTTTGGCTCGTCCTCGACTCGTACCTGGCTGTCCTTGGCTCGTCCTTGGCTCGTCCCTGGCTCGTCCTTGGGCTCGTTCTTGGCTCGTCCTTGGGCTCGTCCCTGGCTCGTCCCTGGCTCGTCCATACTTACAAATAATGTTACTCATCAACGAGTCTGGTACATGTATAACACTTGTCATTAGTGTTCCAACAAAGAGGAAGTATTAACTCCGCGTGTCTCCCACACCATGAACTAAGTCCTCGGACTAATTAAAATTAATGAGAAGAGATTAGTGGTCCCCTGTACGTGGTGAGGAAATAAATAGTTTGTTAATCCCTGCAGAGTGTAAGGCGAGGGCCGGGTCCTGACGCTATGGGTCAGAGACACTTGTGTCTGGTGAAGACAAGTGTTATAAGCCTTTATTAACGCAGTCAGGAAAGTGTTCGCTCGTTTTGGGAAGGAGTTTTTTTTTTTATTATTATTATTTTCTACCACAGACGTGGCCAGACATTTACAATGCTAACCAGCATATGTACATTTTCTTCTGTCCTCCATGGACAGGGTTAGAGAAGTGTTAAACATATAGTTCAAGGGTTTATTGAACACTCAACCACAGAAGGTGATTCGGTGCTTTTAAAATGTTAAGCTAACCTACACGGGAAGGAGTGTGTAAGCTGGGGGAAAGGCGCACGCACGCACACACACACAAGGGGGCCTGATAGCTGAGTTGACAGCGCTATGGTCCCGTAATCCTATCCTAGGGTCCGGGTTCGATCCCGGCTGATGGCAGAAACAAAATGGACAGTTTCTTTCAGCCTGATGCCCTTGTTACCTAGCAGTAAATAGGTACCTGGGAGTTAGACAGCTGTTACGGGCTGCTTCCTGTGTGTGTGGGGGGGGGGGGGGGGGATAGGTAGTAGTTATTAACAGTTTGAAAATCAGTTAGTCAATCAGTCTCAACTGATTGACAGTTGAGAGGCGGGCCAAAAGAGCAGAGCTCAATCCCCGTAAGCACAACTAGATGAATACAACTAGGTGAATACACACCCAGGAAGCATCCCGTAGCAGCTGTCTATTTACTACTGGGTAACAGGGGCATGAGGGTGAACGAAACTCTGCCCATTCGTTTCCGCCATCGCCGGGGATCGATCCCCGGTTCACAGGACTACGAATCCCGAGTGGTGTCCACTCAGCCACCAAGCGGCCAAAGGTGTGGTCTTCACGCCCAGTCGACCGTTGTCTGTAAAGATAGCGTGCAAGTTTTTACACAGTCATGGTCCGGCAGAGTGCACACTCCCGCCCCAGCCACACACCTGCCACACACCAGCCACACACCTGCCACACACCTGCCACACACCAGCCACACACCAGCCACACACCAGCCACACACCAGCCACACACCAGCCACACACCAGCCACACACCAGCAAGCTGCAATCTTAGAATCCTCCTTAGAAACGTCTCCGTCGCTGTCTATAACTGGTGGCTCGGGGCGACACGCCTTTCCTTCCCACCAGTTCGATTCCCACCTGTCTCCATGATTACTATTTATTCCCAATCATTGATTGTTTATGGTCAGTAATATGTGATACTGTTCCATAATGTGTCTTAACCGTGCCTCTGAAGCCCTGAGGACATTAGTAGTTCTCCAGTGATGTCAACATAGCTTGGTGTCCAGTGATGTCAACATGGCTTGGTGTCCAGTGATGTCAACATAGCTTGGTGTCCAGTGATGTCAACATAGCTTGGTGTCCAGTGATGTCAACACAGCTTGGTGTCCAGTGATGTCAACATGGCTTGGTGTCCAGTGATGTCAACATAGCTTGGTGTCCAGTGATGTCAACATAGCTTGGTGTCCAGTGATGTCAACATAGCTTGGTGTCCAGTGATGTCAACGTAGCTTGGTGTCCAGTGATGTCAACGTGGCTTGGTGTCCAGTGATGTCAACGTGGCTTGGTGTCCAGTGATGTCAACATAGCTTGGTGTCCAGTGATGTCAACATAGCTTGGTGTCCAGTGATGTCAACGTGGCTTGGTGTCCAGTGATGTCAACACAGCTTGGTGTCCAGTGATGTCAACACAGCTTGGTGTCCAGTGATGTCAACATAGCTTGGTGTCCAGTGATGTCAACGTGGCTTGGTGTCCAGTGATGTCAACACAGCTTGGTGTCCAGTGATGTCAACATAGCTTGGTGTCCAGTGATGTCAACATAGCTTGATGTCCAGTGATGTCAACGTGGCTTGGTGTCCAGTGATGTCAACATGGCTTGATGTCCAATGATGTCAAGCCAATTTGGCATCACTTACGAGTCCTCTGACGTCATTATGACTATTCCAGAGTTATTGTTCATAATTCTTCTGAATCGCTTTGCCAGCTTTGCCCCTCTGAGTCTCACACAGTTGTTAATTAGCGTGTTTCAGTGTACATAGTGTTGCCTCGTTGGGTTGTTGGCTGTTGTTGCTGCATGGGTAACAGCTTCTCCTCCATATCTACGTACCCAGGCTTTGCGCCCTGTCAGGGTGCAACTCCATAGTCTTCAAAGACTGAAGGATGCCTACTACTAGTGTGTGCCTCGTCTGTCATGTGTTCGTGTCATGTGGCCACATGGGGAGTCGAGCAATACTCCCAGGAGCAGTATTCAGCGGTTCGAGCCCAAGCAAGATACACACGTTAAAATATTCTCTTACCTATTTTACCCTCATGCCTCCCCATCCTCTCTAACTCTGCCTCATTCCCCTATCATTCTTCCCTATGACACGCCTTCCTTTTTATTATGTTGTTTCTTCTCGTCTCTCCTTGTCTCTCCCATTCTCTGTGTCTCCTCGCTCTTCCTACGAAAAACACGACATTTTCGCGCCAAAAAATTGAATTATGTTCCTATTTTGCTCGCCGTCTAGGACGGATATATTTTTTTTTTTTTTTTTTTTTCAATATACTGATTTATACAACAACGACAAATTGTAAACGGTTCCAGTTTGTATATAACGTAACGACCGGTCCAGTCTTGTGAACCGCGAACTGTAACCATTTCCAGTCACTAAATGAGAACAATTTACGTTGTCTGAGACAGCTTCGTGAACCTTTATGGCGCGGTGATTATTTTTGGTGAATACGTTTTGTGGGGGTTATCTTGAGATGATTTCGGGGCTTAGTGTCCCCGTGGCCCGGTCCTCGACCAGGCCTCCATCCGCAGGAAGCAGCCCGTAGCATTGTAACACCCGTGACCTCCCCCCCCCCTTAAGAGTTCACACCCAGGGAAGCCTTCTCCAAGAGGTCAGCCCAGATGACCTCCAGTTTATCTGGTATATTGATTAAAAATTCCTGGGTTAGTCTTAGTCAGCATAGTTTCAAGTATGTAATATTTCATGCAAGGGAATTAGACTCCAGATTCTTATGTGTAAACATCCTTGGATCTCCCCCTTTTGGCCAGGTCAGAGGTCAGCCACACACGTAATTAATAACTCCTCTCTTGAAGAGGGTATGGTGAATGTCAAACAAGCTTATTGAAATATTTCTTGAGTGTTTGTACATTCTTGGTGGGTAGCAACAGCAGATCTCCCCCTCCCCCCTGTGGGGGTTGTATATAGAGGTCCTGTAGGGACTTTGGAAACAGAGTGCCGGACACCGGGGCCCAGAGAGGGCTGTGAAGAACATCTCAGCCAGGGAGAGACAGGTTTTAAGGTAATGTGTGTGATCTCTGAGGTTTTGTTCCATGTCCAAATTTCTTAACTTTTTGCCAGTGTTAGAGTAGGATTTATAAGTGGTGATTGACATAATTTTGGTCTCAATAAAACTCATGTTAAATTTCCCGTCTGTGTCAATTGTTGAATCCTCTTAGCCTTTTGGATATAGTGGCTGACAACCGTTTCCATAATTAATGACAGTCATAGAAAGTACTCTCCACGTCAAGCAATGTTTCTTGCCTCGTTGCTTGATATAGTCTCAATGGTCAAAGGCAGATGGTGGCAGCGTATTTCATCCTGTGTTAGCATTTCCTCATTTTTGCAGTGTATCTTTTGGTTCCGGTGTAACCATCATATGTCAGCCCATAACAGTGTTACCAAGTGCAACCAATGGGGAAGTGTTACTCAGGATAAGTAGTGTTTACATTATAGTGGTGTTCCATTATAGTGGTGCATTATAGTGGTGGTACACTTTAGGGTGGTGTTACAATTGGTGGTGTTACAGCAGCTGTCTAACTCCCAGGTACCTATTTACTGCTAGGTAACAGGGCCATCAGGATGAAAGACACATTTTGCCCATTTGTCTCCGCCTCCACCGGGGATCGAACCCGGAACCTCAGGACTACGAATCCGAAGCGCTGTCCACCCAGCTGTCAGGCGCCCTAGAGACTGTCAGCTGTCAGGTAAAGATTGTTGAGTTACCAACTGCACATTTAGTGAGAATATGTTATATTAAGTCCCAAAGAACATTTTTAAGGTGAGATATCTGGAGAAATGTTGTTTTATGAGGGAATAGTGAAGCACTGCTTTGTTGATGAGAGGGAAATGGCTGGCAGCCGCGGGGCTCACCATAGCCCGTGCTACTTGGAACTTGTTCCGAGTAGCTGAATCTATAACAACAGGCTGCCAGCCAGCATTGTTCCTGCTACTGTTAATGTCGCTGATACAGCATCTACTGCTGTAATTACCACATTACCTACACCACTTTGTAACGGGTAGTACCCTTCACCAATTACCACTACAACTACCACCATCACCACTACTACCACCACCACTATATTTACATATTCATATATTTTGGTGAACTGGTCTATGTTCCCTCGCCTGGTTGATTGCTCAGGCAACCAACCAGGCAGTTCACCTTTCATGTTTCAGAATATGGAAATTGGGAAAAATTGTATATCCTGTTTTGTAAAATATTGGTGTTTTTTTTGTGACGATAGGTTTCGTTGTGTCCCTGAGGAGATAGGGAGGAGAGTGAGAGGGATAGAGAGAGGGAGGGAGTGAGGGTGAGTGTTAGAGAACTGAAGAAACTGATACGGAAGAGAAGACGACACACACACACACACACACACACCTATAACCTGTACACCTGTTGATTGATGGTTGAGAGGCGGGACCAAGAGCCAGAGCTCAACCCCCGCAAGCACAACTAGGTGAGTACACACACACACACACACACA